AATAGTACGTAATAAAAGTTACATATATATATATATATATATATATCGGAAATGACAACAGGAGATCCCACTTCTGGTGTTGGAAATTACAACAGAGTAATCCACTTGTGATCTTGGAAATACATCAGGATAGCGTTAACTGTTAAAAATAATAAAAGTGTGAGAGCGGATGTTCAACTTGCTCTCTTGCTTACGCAGTTTAATCATTATCAGTAATAAGACAACGTAACGTACTATACATACATTCAGTATAGTGAAATTACAGTTCGACCACACCGTAACACGTCTCCGCCACAATCACACACCAGTGTAACGTGAGGTACGTAATTACATGATAACACCAAAATATGTAAACCAACAGCAACACTACTATCTCAATGTAACACAGGGCAGCCTCTTAGCAACACCAATCCTCTTTGCCTGCACTAGAAGAATAACAACAACGAACAGAACCACGACACTATCTTAGCACTAGTAGAATGACCACACTCGTTGAATGACTTAGGCGGAATTTCCCGCGCACGGCTCCTACAGTGAACTTTATACTGCACAAACAAGCGGGGATTTCTCGATATACATTCCATTGCACCTCGATCCAACCGGGTATTTTATAGACATTCCGACATATAAATATTTTTTTGTTTGTTAGCGGGTAGATTTAGGAACCACGCGCAAGAGGGAGTTTGTTAAGACTAGGTACTTACGCGTAAGGTATTTTGAGTAGGTAGATAATGTTATCACGTAATCAGATAATTGTCGTTATCGTATAATTATAGTAGATTAATTGTCGAAGGATCGGTCGTTTCAGCGAGGCATCTTTTCTGACCGACTGTAGTGTGTACTCTCCGTGAAGTGTAATTTGTATTTAATTTAATAAATAGTAATATGTGTTTTACTTGATTTGATAGGAACTGTATTTGTTATTTGTTAATTTGATTTGTATTTGTGCCGCGAAGTAATTTTTATTTAGTAGTGACGCCGTCGCACTAGCTACCGGCGCTTCGCCTGCAGGCGGAGCTGCGCTGGGCCGCTAATGGTCATATTTGGATAGGGTGACCAGATCGGGTCCATAGTTTAGGGAAGCGGCACGAGCAGGTCGATGCCCGAAGGGCTGTAGTGGAGGAGGCTTGCACAGAGCTTTTGGCCTCGAATGCGTATCAGCGAGTCCTAGACTCCTGCCTCGCGGGCTACGAAAAATTTTTTTCGCTCACGGACGATTTGATCGAGGCGGGGGCCAAGTATGCTAATGAAGCACGTGAAGCTCGGCTGAGTGGCCTTACCGAGTCCTCTCGGAAGTAGCCTACTCAGCCGGAGCTGTTGGGACGACTCCCAACTCTAGACCTGCCAAGGTTCTCCGGGGTCCTCTCCGACTGGATGACTTTTGTACGCCTTTTTGATAGTCTGGTGGACGCCCGGAGGTACTTGACACCAAGCGAGAAGATGGCGTACCTCCTAGCCTCACTGGAGGGGGAGGCCCTGGGCGTCGTCGGCCATCTGAAATTGTCGGACGACGCCTACCAGACTGCTCGGGACCTCCTCGCTGGAAGATACGCCAACATCCGGCGAATTGCGGACGAATACGTCAGGCAGCTTCTAAGCCTCCCACTGCTTAGGGACCGGGCCAGGCTACGTCCGGACCTCTTGAATCCAGTCTTGGTGGCCTGTAATGCGTTGATGCGGCTGGATTTGCCGGTGGATGAATGGTCCTCCTTGTTGCTCCACATCATGCTGTCCCGCCTGCCTCTCGACCTTAGGATATATTTTGAGGAGAGGTATGGCGGGCACGGCTCCTCCTATATTCCACCCTTTAGTGATCTGCTGCGGTTCTTGGAGGAGCAGTGCCGGCAGATTGAGAACACGGCGGGCACCGTTGACGACTTACAAGCAGTGCCCAGTGAAAGGCGGAATCCGCCGGGCAAGTCGTCGTCAACCCCCCCTAAAGCCGATCGGAGCTTCCGCGGGAGGGCGCCGCTCCCTACCATCTTACAGTGGCCTAGTGACCAGGGAGGCGCCCCCCTATTCCTATTGCCGAGCCTCCGATTACCGGGTGACGTCGTTCCTGAAGTTATTAGGTAAGCCGGTTCAGGCTGTCCGCATTGCCAGGGCAAGCACCATGCAGTTTTGTGCCTGGGTGCAAACGGCGCTTCCTCTTGGGGCTCTGCCGGGCCCTTGACCCCCACGGGCGGGGGCACTCAGCCACGCCCTCTGTCGGGCGACGCTCGGCGCTCACCTGCCAGCCACCGAGTCCCTGGATTTGAAAGGATTCCCTCCCCCGATCAGTCGGGGGGTCGTTCCCCCAGGGGCGGGGGTGTCGTCGCCCCCCCTCAGACCGAACTGATCACTCTGGATAGAAAAGTCCACACTATTATGACGTCCCACAGAATGCATCATCCGAGATCGTCAGTAATGAGGCTGTACTTGCCGCGGAAACATGGTGGGCGCGGCTTTTTAAGCGCGCTTACCATGCATAATCGCGAAGTGTGCAGCCTCCGTAATTACTTTCTGACGAGGGCAGATGATCCATTCAATAGGGATGTTATTTTTTGTGATAAAGGACTTACCCCCTATCCTTAGCCAACGAGCAATGGCAAGATCCGGCAGTACAGAACATTTCCGACCGGGAGACCGTATGGAAGGAGAAGGAGCTCCAAGGGAGGTTCTACAAGGCTCTACATGAGCCTTTCGTAGACACAGTTGCCTCCCTCCACTGGCTACATTTTGGTGACCTCTTCGGGGAAACCGAGGGTTTTGTCTGTGCAATACACGATCAAGTTATTAAGACCAACAACTATCGGAGATACATCCTACGGGATCACACCGTCGATATTTGTCAAGCTTGTCGCCATCCCGGTGAATCACTTAGGCATGTCATCTTCGGTTGTTCGGCGCTTTCTATCTCTGAGTACTTGCATAGACACAACCTAGTAGCCAGGATTTTACACCAGGAGCTCGCTCTGAAATACGGTCTCGTGGATCGGAAACGATCCACGAGACCGTATATGTATGTTTGTCATGATATTTATGTATGTTTGTCATTTTCATTTACAACTATATATTTATACAGCCCAACCAGATGAGTAAACTATATAGATACCCCACATAATAATAAGCGTGTATGCGTAGGTATATGGATGTGGAGGAAGCGAGAGAGGTGTGTCAGGATCGTGCCAAATGGAAGTCCATAGTCTTTGCCTACCCCTCTGGGTGACAGGGGTGAGTGTTTATATATATTTGGAAGTTTCAATTGTTATTTTTGTGAGCGATGGCAAATAGTTGCTTTTAATCTTGACTCTAAACACATTTATTAAATAGTATATAGTTAGTATTAAAGATATGGAACATCAGTTTTAGCAAGATAGCATTATTGATTCAACCTCACGTGACCACAAACCTCGGATTTAAAGTTTTACCAAGTTATATAAAGTTTATGGATGTAAGTCAGTCTGAATAGCACAATCACAATCTTACAGGCACAATTGTAAATTAACTGAATAGTTAATCAAGTGAAAGCAATATAATTCAAAATTGTCAACAAAAGGGATATCTTCAATATTATAGCGTCGAAAGCGACTTATTAGTTAAGTTTACATTAACTATACTAATCTGATACCGATAGATAGATAGATAACTCTTTATTGCATTTAAACAAAATGGTTACAATTACGAAAATCTTATGAAGTACAAACGGTCGTCATTTCGCTTTAAAGTGATTTCTGCCTGACAAACCGTACTTAAAGGGACATTGTAATTTTATATTTTCACGGATAGGTAATATTAAATAAACTGAGGAGAAAAAAAAATTATAGTTAAATAAAATGTATATAAATATATATACAATAATATAATATTTAATGAACATCTATAAATAAACATAATTTATAAATACATACATATATACCCAAGGTTGGTTGGTAGAGAATGCCATTTAGCATTAAGCTCGCCTACAAGTATTTAGTGCAATAAAGAGTAAGAACAATAACTTGCCGTGCATATTTTAGTGTGGTTGAAAGACAATTTGAAACCCTTTAATATAATGGACTTCCGCAAAGTAACGCCTGATTCTATTAATATGGAATGCTTTTATTTGAGAATGCTTTTACACTATGTGCGTGGTCCAACCTCTTTTAAAGGTATCAAAAATTTCAATAATCCGGAATTTTCGACATTTCGAGAGGCATGTGAGGCAAGAGGGTTATTAGAGAATGACAATCAGTGGGATACACATAATTCTGGAAAAGGCTGCATAATGCAGATCTGCGCCCATGTTGCTATTAATACAGCTTTTCGCTATATTAATAGCACGTGGACTTTCAAAACCCTAAATAATTGTGAGAAAAGTATAAAATGATATGGCGGATGATATTTTACACAGATTAAAAAAAGAGAATCCAAACGCTTCAAACAATGGTTTAATTTACAATGACGAGTCACTGGCAGAACCTTTCTTTTAAACTTACTATCAGCTCAAATCCGGAAAGATAAAGAAGTTACTGTTGCAGTAACTTCCTCTACAATAGCTGCTACGCTACTTAGTGAAGGACGAATAGCGCACTCAGTTATTAAACTGTCATTGCACTTATCTCATAAGGAAATTCCAGTATGTAACAATTGCAGAAGCAGTGAACAGGAAAGAATGTTGCAGCAGTGTAAGCTGTTGGTTTGGGATGAATTTACGATGTCCCACAAAAGACCAATTGAAGCACTAGATCGCACAATGAACGATATCAAGAGCAACTTGAGTATCATAGGAGAGATGGTGATACTTTTAGCTGGTGACTTAAGACAACCCTGCCGGTTGTAACTAGCGTCTGTATTATGGGTTCACGTAAAATAGTTTTGTCTCACTACAAATATATATATGCGGCTGCTCTTCTAAAAATTGCAGAAGCATGTAAGCCAACAGACAGTAACAGCATGATTACTCTGAGTCGCGATTTCTGTCAAATTGTCGATAACAAAGATGACTTAAAAATTATTTCTATCCTAATCTCCAAATAAATATGTGCAATCGAGATAGATTGTGTCAAAGGGCAATTTTGGCGCTAACAAATGAAACAGTAGGCCAGATTAACGAACAATCTATGTCAGACGTGGAGGGGGATGTTGTCGAGTACCTCTCAGGACGCAATGTTATGGACACTGAACAAGTGACATCGTACCCTATAGAGTATCTCAATTCTTTAGAACTATCAGGGGTTGCGGATGAAAGTTGGTGTCACAGTCCTGTAAATGAGAAATCTTGACACACCATGGATATGTAATAGTACACTGCTATAAATTACTCATCTGGGACGCAACATTATAAAAGCTATAATCATGACTGTAATGGCGAAAGGAGAAAACGTTTTAATTACCCGCATTCTGATTATTCCAACTGATTTGCCCTTTCAGCTTAAAAAAGTGCAATTACTCCTAAAAGCAGCATTTGCAATAACAATAAACAAAGACGCTTAAAGTTGCAGTTTTACATTTAGAAAAAAATTGTTTTTCTCATTGGCAACACTATGTGGTGTCCTCACGAGTCTCAAACCTGCAAAATCTTTATGTTTTCGCAAAGGATGGAAAAACAAAACACGTAGTTTATAAAAATGCTTAAAATATGCTATTTGAAGTAAACCGCGGTAGTTTATATGTGTATTATATGCTAAATAAGTATCCTAAATAAAAAATACTTTAAAAAAACTAAAAAAAGTACGCTTTTTGTAGATAACCGAACTAAAAAGGAGAAAATAATTTTCAATAAGTTTAAAATAAGAAATAGTGATTAACATAAAAAAATAATCATTTGATTATAAAAAAAGCTTAGGATGCTTTTTCAGATATTTGTATGCTGACGCTAATTTTACAAATATCCACAAAAACATTTAAAACAAATGACATCAAGTTGTTAAGATGTAATGTTAATGTTATTGTTCACTGAAAAATTCAAAACCTGCTTTAAATATTTTAATTTGAGACTACGAGCAAGTTTGATGCATTAGGTTTCCTTTAAATAAGCATCACGTAAGAGTGAGAGGCAAAATTTGAAGATTATTAGGGATTTCCATATCAAATATCACACGTACAGTTGTAAGCTCAATTATAATAATTACGGCATATTTTTTCTTTATCATGATATTCAGCATTTATTAATAGAATGTGTTAAGGTCAAAAGAGAAAAATAATTATAGATGTAAAGTTTTAAGATAAATATATACGATTTAGGAGTTTGTTCAACTGCGTTAGCAGAACCACTGTCGGATGTTTCAAAATGTTTAGTTTATATGGCTAGGAAACGTGGTAATAAGGTTATTTTTTTACTGTGTATCAATAAGATTAGACTAAGATGTCGCTGACATTCGGGATAAAAGCCTCTAAATAATTAAGAAAAAACCAACTTCCGTTATAGGGAAGATTTTTCCCTAATCGTCTTGCTTGACAGATGGATTGACAATCATATTGCCGAAAGTAACGCACCTTTTTTTATAACGAGGGTAAAAAACGAGCACACAATCTACTTGATCTACATTTATACTTAATTAAGAATCAAACTACAGATGCGTTGTCATCCATAAAGACTAAGATGGAATGCCTCGTCTACATTAAAAAGGGTCTCCGGTTCTCCACACTCAACAAACACAGCAAGCATTGAGCTGCCATTTCATGCTGATATTTTATGAGAGCGTGGTCCCTCTACGGTCGAGCTCGTTCCACAACCTTAATACAAATTCAGCATAGTGGTAACACGTAACCTGTCACGCTGCTGCCAGTCTCTAATCTGGGTATTTTACGTCTCCCGTAAAAAAATACCTGTTACGCCATTTATCGGAACCCATAAGATTTTTCTGAGATTTAATATCATCCACGTGACGAAATGAATTGATGGATCCTTTTACATTGTCTCACATGCCAAGAGCATTATAATTAGTATATTATGTAAATACCTCCTAATTACCTCCAAAGCTGTCCAATGCTTGGCTGAGGTTTTTGTTTCTTCACCAGTTAAAAATAGTCTCTAGTTAATCAACGATGCGAAGCACAGCGGCATTATGCTGATATTTCACGCTAGTATTCTGTGAGACCTTGGTCATAACCCATTTGAGCTGACCGTGTAACGTCTTTCTTATAACAAGTAAGTTAGTTTTACGGATAACATACAAGTTGTCACTTCAAAACACTTTGTTAATGTAATATAAAATCAAAGTAGCAATATAAACTGATATTATAGAAAATATAAGATCGATTAATTCGAGTGTTTTCATGATATAAATTATAAAAAAAAAATTGGTTGTCCTTGACGTTTCGAGAGTAATATACTACAGACGTGAGTTCAAACAACTATTAGAACGGCGAGTGGCATTAATTATTTACAACTTCATAACTACGAAGGCTTTATTCTTAAATAAAAACTTGAGGCCCTCAAGGTATAACATAAGAAAAATAAAATGTGAAAAGTCCAACAGACTTCTTAAAATGAAAAGTTTAGATGTTAAAAGTTTTACGAAACTTAAGGCTTAAGTCAGATAAGTCTTTATATTCTAAATAAAACTTTAGGTAGCAGACTTCAGTAAATTAGGTACGTATTTTTTTTACAAGATATATTTTATCTCCTTGTGTAATGAAATGAAATAAGATGAAAACTCATTACTTTGAGAAAAAATAAATATAACTTCCGTTTGTAAAACGCCAACATGTGTTTTGATCTACTGGATACCCTTTGATCACATGACCGTTCCTCTGTGCTGAGAAGATCTCAGTAAGAAACTCTGTATGTATCCTTTTTTGTCATCATTTTTCAAATGTTATAATATTTTTAATCTAATATATAAAAATTAATATTTGTTTCTTCGTATTTTATGCGCAGCCATACCATTCATCAGATTGAGGTAAAACTTTGTCAACTTATTGCTTACACTTGCACAAAGATTATAGGCATAGTACAATTCACTTATAGTAGGTGGTGAGCGTGTCGTACCGATATATTTATTTAAAAGTCATAATATTACGTCAATTAATTTCAATTAATGTATTATCATTCCTAATTATACAATATAACCCATCCAAATTTAAAAATACATTCACACAATTATTTTTTCTCCGGCATCAACCTGCGGGGTACCAGATAGTTATAAATAAAGAGGAATAAACCCATAGATATAATTGATTTGCACAATTAGAATCAGATGTAAAGTTAAAGCTAATAAATGTATAACAAACTTGAGCAGACCAGTTCTCATAAGCAGCATCTGTTCATCTGTTCACATGTGGCAGCGAACACACACACACACAAACACACACACACACACACACACACAGTCGAGTGTGTGTGTGTGTGTGTGTGTGTGTGTGTGTGTGTGTGTGTGTGTGTGTGTGTGTGTGTGTGTGTGTGTGTGTGTGTGTGTGTGTGTGTGTGTGTGTGTGTGTGTGTTCAGTAGTGGAACTGTGATAATGTAATGATGTTGATGATGATGATGTATCGTAAGAACACACGCGTATGCTTACGTACGTCATCTTATAAGAAAAACGTTTAAGTAAGACGCAATGCCTGTATTTTATTTACAAACCAATGATGTATGAAATCAACCAAGTCATGGTTGATTTCATTGAGATATACAATATTTTTTTGCAGTAAAAAGACATGATGCAGTAACGAATTTTTGATTTTATGTCATGCTTAAAGTAATAAGTAACTGGGTGATCGAACTTCCGCGTTAGAATTTTTTTCAAAGAGATGACTATCTATATAAACTTGGGAATTGAAATATTCTGTAGTAAAATTTACCTAAATCATAAGAGCCGTTTTACAGAAATCACTTACATATAATAATATACAAGAATTGCTTCTTTATACATAGAATATAAAAAAGGTAAAATACAATTCCTTCTTCCTCGTTCAATTTGAAACCTGAAAATTTTTGATATTTTGGAACCGCTATCTTAAAATCCATACCTTAATCGGATTCAAAATCGGAACCGTACATAAAATTGCAATCTTTTAAATTCCTGTAGGGGTAGCATGTTGTACATACCGGATATTAGAATACAACCACTTCAATATTATGGTTATAGTGCAAATAGGTTTGCTCAACCGAGGAAAGAACACGTTCTCACGTAATACCAGCGTGAAAAGACAAAATAGTGCTGTTGGGCTTCGTATGATGAGCTAAGAGAACCGGAGACCCTTTTTATTGCCAATGAAGCGTTCTGTCTTAGTCCTCAGGGGTGACAATGCATGTCCATTTTTATTCTAAATCGAGGATAAATGTGTCTATGGGTTACCACTTACTATAAGGTGGGTTGTGTACTCTCTTATCATTTTTATTCTATGTAAAAATACTATGATCGCTAATCCGTCTGATAAGCGTAGCTATTGCGGCAAATTGGCCATAATTTTTTTTCTTTTTTTTTTTCGTTCGTTCGTTACCCCTACACCAGGAGTTTCTCCTGTATCGTGGAGGCAGTTTACAAACATAGATTTCGCAAATTCCGGGAATTTCGCAAAGCACGGTTCTGAGCGGCATAGGATCCATCGACTTTCTTCACCCATGAACTAGGTCGTCACACCATCTAGTGGGGGCCAAAGTTAATACGAAGTTTATATTTAAAAATAATGCAATGTGTAAAAAAAATATATACCCGAATTTTTGACTTATGATGAAATATTTCCCTTGAAGCCCGACAAAATTTAAGTAAACAGCTCTAGAGAACACCTTAATAAACAATTGCCTATCAGTCTAATTAACTTTCAGTTTACTGTTTCAAAACATGATATTCAAGAAATTAAGTTTTTACTTGGTTATGTAGAAGCACGAAGGAATCAATCACCTCATTTCTTCCCGTTGGTGCCGTTAGAAGCGACTATGGAATATGGGTTTGTACAATCTATTTTACAAGAATATTGTATTATAATATTGTGATAAAAAGTTCCTCTGAGTTTCTTGCTGGTTCTTTCAGGGACAGAAGTTTGTTTTTCGAACCAATCGTTAAAATGACTTTCATAAGAATTATTTATAATCTATATTGAATACAAAACTATTGTGAATTGTAAAATACTATGTGCTTAAAATATCTTATGGTCCCCGATAAATGGCGGTATATGCATTTTACCCGACTTCAAAAAAGGAGAAGGATTACAATTTGACTATTTTTTTTATATTATTATGTTGATGATGGAGTTTATAATATTAAAGGATTAGTATAATACTCGTAATTAACATTAATTGTCACATTTTGATTCATCTGCATATGGATTCTTAATCGCGGA